CAAGATATTTATTTTTTTCGTAACTGTCCAAAAAATTATTGAAATCAAGAAAAATATTTAAAAATTATCAAAAATACCAAAAATTTTGGCTTGCGTCAATGACTTTAAAATATTGAATATATTGGTTTTACAAAAAAAATAAAAAGTTTAGTTTTTCCATAAATGTCCGGAAAATAAAAAATTCAACAAAAATATTAAGAAAATATAAAAACAACTTAAAATATTTTCAATTTGCGTCAATGATTGAATAATAGTTTTTTTTTAAAAAAATCAAAATTTTGATTTTTTCGTAAATGATCGAAAAAAAATAAAAATCAACAAAAATATATAAAAAAAACTTACAAAAAATTCGACTCGCACCAATGACTTTACAATTTTTAAAATGTAAGTTTTCGTAAAAAAATCAAAATATTAGTGTTGACTTTCAAATACTACTTGTCGTGACGTTTGTCGAGGTTGACTCACATTTAGGTCAGTCGGGCACACGGGAGTCAAGCTTCCAGCCCGCGTGACTCCTAACGAGAGGCGGCGTGATGCGTGACGCTCAAAAATGTCAAAAATAATGGTTTTAATAAAATGCAAATTTTTACATAAATATCCAGAAAATAAAAAAATTACGAAAAATATAAAACGCACCTCAAAAAATATTCGGCTTGCACCACTGACTTTAAAATATCGAAAATAATGGATTTAAAAAAAATAAAAAAATAATGCTTTTCGTCAATGCCTGAAAAATATAAAAATCAATAAAAATATAAAGAAAATATAAAAACACTTCAAAAAAAACTTCACTTGTACCAATGACTTTAAATATCGAAAGTAATGATTTCAGGAAAAGAAATCAAAATTTTATTTAATTTTCGTAAGTATCTGAAAAATTATAATAATCAAGAAAAATATATTAAAATAAGAAAAGACCTGAAAAAAATTTAGACTTGCATTGCAGACTTTAAAATATCGAAAATAATGAGTTTAAAAAAAATCAATTTTTTTCATAAATGTACGAAAAAATGGACTAGCGAAGGGCTTTAGCCGCTACAACAAGAGAGATGAGTTTCAACCACCACTTGTCGTGACGTTTGTCCATGTTGACTCACATTTAGGCCAGTCGCGCGCACGGTAGACAAGCTTCCACCCCGCGTGACACCTAACAAGGGGCTATACGATGTGTGACGCTCAAAAATGTCAAAATTAATGGTTTTAACAAAATGCAAAAAAAATAAATTTACGTAAATGTCTGGAAAATAAAAAAATCAAGAAAAATATAAATGTAAAAAATAATGGATTTTAAATGCACGAAAAATAAAAAAATCAAGAAAAATAAAAAGCAAATATAAAAACACTTCAATTTGTTTTTGAATTGCACCAATGACTTTAAAATATCGAAAATAATGGATTT